TGAACATGAAAGATCTTTCCATTTTTGATGTCTTCTGTTTTTGATCATAGGAATCCCTCACATTCTTGGTTAAATCTATTTCAAGGCGTTGGAGGTTTTTTGCAGCTATTGTGAATGAGACCGATATTACAAGTTACTTCTCAGCTGTGGAGTTGTTCGTGTATGCAAAAGATAGCTTGTGGGTTGGTTTTATAACCTACAACTTTGCCAAGCTCTTATGAATTCCAATAGTCTCTTAACAGAGTCGTTGGTTCCTCTATATAGAGAATAATTAAGTCATTAGCAAACAGGAATCGCCTGCCATCTGCCTTTCCAATTTGTGTCCCTTCAATGTTTTTTCCATGCCTTCTGGCGCTGGCTAGAACTTCCAGGGTTATATATTGACTAGCTATGGTGAGAGAGCGAGCATCTTTGTCTGGATATTTATAACACTATTCATGGACTAAACAAAATTAACAGCTTAAAAATTAGCCCTCTGTCTAAGGATTACTGAATTTTGAGTCCTATAGGCAGTTACCTTACAGGACCGTGCCAAATGACATTACCAACCTCATATAGCCCATGTCCCGGATGTTCCCTGTCCTTTCATTAAAGTGTGATCAAGACTTCTTTACACCCTAATTTTAACCAAATAAATCTAATACAAAATAAAACAAGTAGTTCATGTGTGTGTCATTACATCTAGAACACAAAAATATCCATATAGAGATTTTTTTTTTAAATAGTTATTTACTTTTAATTTCCAGACAGAGTTACAGAGAGAAAGAGAGGTCTTATATTTGCTGGTTCACTCCCCAAATGCCCACAATGACCAGAGCTGGGTTGATCTGAAGCCAGAACTTCTTCCTGGTCTCACATATAGGCACAGCCCAAGGAGCTGGGTCATATTCCACTGCTTTCCTTGGCTATAAGCTGGGAGCTGGGTAAGTGGATATGGGATGCTGGTGTCATTCCATATTCTACCTGGCCTACTGAGCTATTGCGCCAGCCCCCATATGGAGACTTTTTAAGTATTTCTTTTACTCCTTTTACTTAAGTAATATTCTGTTCTGCAGAAACTACGGTTATGCTTTAGGCACCTCCTTAACTCGTGTCGATTATAATCAGACAACTGAGAGTAAAACCAGGAAGATTTTAGAGCCAATGCTAATGGTGTACTAGCCAAATAAGATTGCAAAAGATGTCACGGATTTTTAAAAAGATTTATTTATTTTTATTGGAAAGGACAGTTTTTTCCAGAGAGGAGAGACAAAGCTCTTCCATCTGCTGGTTCACTCTGCAAGTGGCCGCAATGGCTGGAGCTGAACTGATCCACAGTCAGGAGCCAGGAGCTTCTTCCATGTCTCCCATGTGGGTGCAGGATTCCAAGGCCCTGGGCCTTCTTCTGTTGCTTTCCCAGGTCACAAGCAGTGGAGCAGCCTAGACATGAACCAGCACCCATATGGGACTCTGGAACATGCAAGGAAAGGATTCAGCCACTAGGCTATTATGCCAGACCCAGATTTAATGAATTTTGAATATTCATTATAAATCCATATTTAAAATATCAAAATATGTCTACACATATTTTATATAAAGGAATATAATTTCATGTATTTTATTTTTTAAAAAAGATTTATTTATCTATTTGAAAGAGAGATAGAAACAGATAGAAACATCCACATGTTCTGTCCCTACATAGCCACAGCAGCTGGGGCTGGGCCAGGCTCAGGCAAGAAGCCTGCAGTGCCATCCACACATCTCCCACATTGCTGGCAGTGCCCAGGTGCCTCAGTCATTCCCTGTTGTTTTTTCAGGCTCCTTTATAGGAGCTGTATCTGAAGTGGAGCAACCAGGATTTGAACTGTTACTCATATGCGATGCTGGCGTCTCAGGCAATGGCTTAGCACACTATGCCGCAGTGCTGGCCTCCCGTGAGCTTTTAAAGAACAGTATTGCAGGCTTTTGTGAAGACAGCTGCGATTTCCTCTGTTTGGGAGATAAAGACCAAAATGATCAAGTCACTTAAACACTGCCAAGTATTTCCAAGTTACACACGTATTTATTGGTTTATGCCTTCATCTTGTGGTTCTTCCTTATTATCGTTTTTCCTAAGATTAAGTAGAGTGACCTCTTTACTTTTACTGTACTGATAGTTCTAAAGTGGGAGAATGGAATCCTAACACTGTGCTCTTGGGAAATTTGGGAACCACAAGGAAGGACACACAGCCTGTGCGTGGTGTCCACAGCCCCCTGGGTCACCTGTAGCCCTGGGGACCCAGGTAATGCCGCAGTAAAAATATTTAGAATTTGTGTATGAACACATGCTATAGCACAGTACAACAACTGCACCACAGGGAGTCTCTGAAGTCCCCCCGGACCCCATTGCCATTTCATTCCTGAGTGAGACATTGAGTCGCATGTGAATTATAATTTGAAAGTGGTGGGTGAGAAGCATGCCTTTAGCCCAGCAGTTGGGATGTCCACAACCACACATCCTGCATTGGAGTGGTAGCTCCTGAACCTGGCTCCTGACGCCAGCTTCCCACCACTGCAGACCCCAGGGGAGGTGGGATGGCGCAGGAACTTGGATTCCAGCCATCCACCTGGGACACCTGGACAGTGCCTGCTGCCGCCCCGGCTCTGTGCATCTGGGGATGAACCAGCATGCGGGAACTCAGACTCTGTCTCTCTGCTGCTCAAACTCAAACTAAAAACTGATAAGGGGCAAAAGTAATGGAGGTGATATGGGGTGTGGAGAACAATTTGCCATGTTCAGAGCTGTTGAAAAGTGTCTATTCTTTAATCTTTTCCATAAATATAATAAATACATAAATAAAATAGGTTGTAGAGAGCAAGTTGTAAGTCCCCACTCCACTTTCTGTTAGGGAAGTGCAAAGACACGAACTGGTTGTTCAGTGGATTGACTCGGAAAGGCCACTCAGGCTGAATGATGAATGCAACATCCAGCCTGCTCATTTAGCAAGAATCATGCATGCACCTAACATTGCTGTGTCACCAACATTATAAAAATTTATTTTAATTGGAAAATCCTATTTTTACAAACACAAGGAGATACAGAGAGAGGCATCTTGCATCCGCTGGTTCACTCCCCAAGTGGCCACAACAGCCTCAGCTGAGCCGATCCAAGCCAAGAGCCAGGAGTTTTTTTCTAGGTCTCCTCTATAGGTACAGGGTCCCAGGACTTTGGACCATCCTCTAATGCTTTCCCAGGCCACAAGCCAGGGAGCTGGGTGGGAAGTGGTGCAGCCAAGACCTGATCCAGTGCCCATAAAGGGGTTCTGGTGCATGCAAGGTGAGGAGTTTAGCCACTAGGCTACTGTGCCAGGCCCATCACTACCATTATTGTATCACATACAACTTAATTCCATAGATGGGTCCAGAAAAGTCCAATTGCTACCTCAGCTGAAAAAGACAGTATTCATTTTCTTAGACTATTAATTAAAAGTTTAAAAAACAGATCAGGAACGCCAACTTTTAAGATTTATTTTTATTGGAAAGGGAGATTTACAAAAGAGAAGTAGACACAGAGAAGGAAAGATTTTCCATCTGCTGGTTTAGTCCCCAAATGGCCACAATGGTCAGGACGGCCAGGGTTAGGCAAATCACAGCCAGGAACCAGGAGCTTCCTCTGGGTCTCCCACCTGGGTGCAGGACTTCACTGCCTTCCCAGGCCAGAAGCAGGCAGCTGGATGGGAAGTGGAGCAGCCGGGACAGGAACTGGTATGGGATTCCAACTCTTGAGGGTGGAGGATAAGCCTGTTAAGATATGATGCTGGCCCCACTCATTTTTTTTTTCATATTTATCTTGCTAAATGAACCATGACCCGCCACAATTTTACTTATAACCCCCATGGGACTCACACTCTGCCACCTCTGCCAATGCCCATTGTTAATCTCCTTTATTTAAAACTAAGTAGTCAAACACCTTTCAGAAAAACGTCTCAGACTTCATACACCTTCTCTACTTCTCTGGATTATTTCTGTTCCTATGTGTTGTGTCTTTCTTGTGAATTCTGTCCCAGTGACCAACGCCTCCTAGCTGTGGTCCACTGGACTCAAAGCTGCCATGTCCCATGTTCTTCCCCGTCTTTGTTTTCATGTTCAAGACGTGTGTGGCTCTCAGAAGCAATCAACTCCACACGCTATAAATCCGAGAAATTCTAACAACCACAGCAAACCCCATCCACAATGCACTGAAAGAAAAAGCTCTCCCTTTCGCAAGTCTGTAAAACAATTTCAGAGAGCGGAGCTGTCATATGGACACCTGCTTTTATTCCTGTGGGTTTTTCAAGACCTAGAGTTTGTGCCTCATCTGATTTTTTTTTCAGGGCGATGAATGTTTTTCCTGGGTGCTGGATACACAGTTGTGTTAGGTATCCCTTAAGGCAACGAGTATCAAAAGCCAGTAAAGGCTTCTAGAACTAAGGGTGCACTTTGGAATTTCAAATACAATTTTGACAGTCTTAATAAAACACGAACCGAGACTTCATAGAGTTGATAATGACGGTGGAATTCTCAGGGAAACTCTAGGGACACCGTGGCCCTTGAAGTTGGACAGGAGGCAGCAGGGAGGGAACAGAGGAGGCCCTTTCGAGGCAGGACTGGGAGGGGTCCCCCATCCCCTGCTCTCGTTTTTCCACCCCTTCAGTTCTCCGAGAAAGCGGACAGCGCTGTCCTCAAGCCCCCGCCCCGGGATTGCTTCCGCTTCGGCCCATCTCCACCTCCCTCCGCGAAGACGGCTCCCTCAGCCGAGCCCAAGCCTTACTCCCCAACGCCATCTTTCCCTCACCCAGGGACACCCAGGGACACCCCGGACGCCGTCACCCCACTTCCGGGTACGTCAGTCCTCGCAGGCCCTCAAGCCCGCCCCCTTCGGACACCCCGAGTCCCCGACTCCCGGAGCGCGGGGCGGGCCGACCCGTGGCTCCGCCCACCGGCGCCGCAGGAGGGCCGAGGCCGTCGGCACGTGATCGTGACGTCATCCCGCGCGCCGCCGCGTCCGCGGAGTCGGGGGGTCCACGGGAGCGCGTGCGGTGCCTCGCCATGTACCACAACAGCAGCCAGAGGCGGCACTGGACCTTCGCCAGCGAGGAGCAGCTGGCCCGCCTGCGGGCCGACGCCAACCGCAAGTTCAAGTGCAAAGTGGTGGCGAACGGCAAGGTGAGGCGTCCCGAGCGCGGGCGGCGGCCACAACCTCCGGCTCCGCGGCGCGGACGAGCCGGCCACCTTCCCCGGCCGTGCCCGAGGCGGACAGCGGCGTCCCCGCCGTCGAGGCCGAGGGGCTCGCAGGGGCAGCTCGGGGAGGACGGCGTGCGGGACCGGGGCGTGGGGCTCGCGGCGGGGAAAGGGCGATGCGGGCAGCCCGCGGGGCGCAGGCGGCCGAGAACGCGCCCGGAGCGGGGTGTGTGCCCCACGGCTGGGAGGACCAGGGACTTGGAGATGGGAGTCGTGCGAAGGTTTCAACGGGGAAATGAACTTTATCGGGGTTCGGGTCTCTAAGGAACTCCCCCGGCCAGTTGGAGGTTGAGTGGGTCGGACGAGGGAGACCGGCAGGAGGCCTTTGGCCAGACCTGTGTCTTGGCCCAGGGATAGCCAAACCTGTGGTCGTTGAGCGGCCCCAGCCGCTTCAGTCCCCCACAGCTCCACCACCTGTAGGCACGCTCGGCTCTCACGAGGGCTCGTCCTGACCCACGTCTGTCTCCGACCGTGGCGTTCGCAGCTCCATTAACGTCCGTCATTAACGTGAATTGCTAAAACCTGGCAACTGCTTTCCGTCTCAGCTGTGTTAACGTGGCTGGCCACCTGAGATGCTGGAAATTGTCCAGCCGTTAAAACAGTGTGTGCTTGCTTTTTTAAAATCTTAAAAATAATGACACCGGTGCTGTGGGCTTATGTATACAATCGCGTAGTCATTTCTCCCTTCACGCAGGGCGACTGGGATTCTGAGTAATCGCAGTCACCACTTTATACTTTCTTGAAGCTGTTTAGTTTATGATGAACAAGTCTAAAGAGAAAATGAGGCCTAGGGTATTTGCCTTTGTTGGAGATATAAACTGTAGGGAGCAATTTAAAGATCGTCATGGAGACCCTGTCACCCTGGACCCGGAGTCATTCCACCTGTCCATGGATCAGATAATCCGGCATCACCTGAGAATCACATCCCCCAACTCCCAGCCCACTTGTCAATTATCCTCAGGCTTTCACCTGCAGGCACCAATCCCCTGGCACCTCTTTCACTGCCTCCCAATGCCGCCCCCTGCGCCCTGCGGGCTCACATGAACGTGAAGATCCGCAGGTGCCTCTATCTGGCCTTCCCCTCGCTGCCTTAGCGCCACATCAGTCCTGTCCTGCCCCGCTGGAAGTGCCTCCATGTTCCCCTTTCCCTCGCTGTACCCACCCACCCACCCCTCCCCCACCCCTCCCCCACCCCCCGTCCTGCTGGAATAACCCTCCTAAAGCGCCTGGTTGTGTCTGGTGTTTTCGGCTCAAGGTAGAAGAGCGAGGCTGCAGGAATTAACTGCGCGTGTAATAACGTAAGGACTCCAACTTCTTAAATAACTAACATAAACTAAGTTTCGTTTTGCCACAGGAGGCTTTTCCTTGGTTTATTTTGTGTTTTTGTGGCATAGAAGGCTTTAACAGGTGTTTAGTTCACTGAACCTGTGTTGTAATTTCGATCCAAAGGTTCTCCCAAATGATCCAGTCTTTCTTGAACCTCCTGAAGAAATGACACTCTGCAAATACTATGAGAAAAGATTATTGGAATTCTGTTCCGTGTTTAAGCCAGCCATGCCAAGGTCCGTTGTGGTAAGTTCTGGTGTGCTGGAGTTTAATGTCCTTTTATTGACTTTGAAAATCTGAGCTTTTCTAAATTCATAGCTAAACTCTGACCACTCTCAGCGATTTTGCCTTGAATTGTATTAGTTTGTGCTGTTCCCACTCAGATTTCAGAGTCAGAAGGTCTTAAGATGTGCTGTGATGGCTTATTTCACAGCAAAATTTTAAAAACTGCTTCCAGTTCTTTCGTAGTGGTCAGTAGCGCTGGAGCAGGCCGATGCGGCCTGGGCGCAGTGCAGGTGTGAGACATCAGCTGGAATCGGAGTCCCCAGCTGAAGGCCACGCACACGATTTTCTGTAAAGCTTCATTTAATTGAAAGCGAGGAAGAGATCTTCATGCATTGGTTCCCTTGGCTGGAGTTGGGAGCTGGGAACTCTACCCAGGTCTCCCACATGGGCAGCAGAGTTCCAGATAATTGGCCATCCTCTGCTGCTTTACCAGGCGCATTAGTAGGAAGCCGATGGAAAGCAGAGAAGCTAGGAGCTGGCTGGTACTCCTAAACGGCATGGCAGCTTGCGAGCCATCGCTTGCCGCGCCGCCGGCCCCTATATGGTCTCTTGAAAAAATTGATGAGTACAAGCACTGGACAGTTGGCTTTGGCGTTGGGAGTTGTCTCATGGTGTTTCAGGTGTCTGATTTTGAGGACCCAGCTTTTGTTGATAATGTACAAGGATAAAGACAAATAGATAGCTGAAGGTTCAAAGCTGAAAGATAAAGGCTGATGCTGGCTTAGTGGATAAAACCACCACCTGCGGCACCAGCACCCTGTATGGGTGGTCATTGGGAGTGCAGGCTGCTGCCCCTGCATTGCTGAGAGTTTGGGCAAAGCAACCGAAGGCCTAAGTGCTTGAGGCCCGCCACCCGCATGAGAGCCCCCGGTGCAGCTCCCCCGGCCCGGCCTGGGTCACCGCGGCAGGCAGGCGGAAGATGGATCTCTTTGCCCTCTTTTCTCTGTTAACTGTTTCCAGGAAGTACATAAACCTTACCTTTAAAAAGCTGAAAGATAAAGGAGAAAAACCAGAGTAGAAGTAGAGGGGATGTGGAAATGGAAAAGAGCTGTGCTTGTTACTCATTTGTTGTGAAGATCAAATGCGAAAGTCCTAAGTTTTAAAGTTATACTGAGTGATTTCATGTCCCACTGTAGAATAACTCTCTCTGTAATTAAAGATTGAAGTGTATCGAGACAGGGCTAAAGGCGTTTACAGTGTTGGCTTGCTAGACCTTCGTCAAGGAGAGCCAGGATCGGGGAGTTTAGGAAAAGTTGATTTCATTCTGTCTCCGTGTTTGGTTCCATTTCATTATGAGAAAACTGCAAATGAAGTAGTTGCTTTAAGCGATCTTTTCGGATGAAACAGTGAAGTCCCCGAGTGAGCAACTTTGTAGAATTTATACAGCACGTATATTTATGACTGAATTTTGTTTTGTATTAAGTGACAAAACTAGATTTTGTTTTCAACTAAAATGGTTTTTTTTCATTGTGAAATAAGCGGGTAATTCACTGTACTTACTGAATAGTTTACTGGTTGCGAGTATGGACTGGTCATAGTGAATCCGGCACTGTGCGTTCTTTCATGTTGTGAGCTTGGTCGGTTTGCCGTGTGAGCACTCAGGTCTCCGCTCTGGCGAGGTGATGGCTAGCCAGGCTGCGGTGAGGGTTGGACCAGGGTGATGGTCCTGTGATGGGCACGGAGCTGGCATTCACTGCACGGGGGTGCAGATCCGTGGCTTGACGGCAGTGCTGAGGGTTAGGTGACACACCGGAGTGCGTTTATGGAGAAAACATTACCACAGGCACGGTCGTTCTGTTCATGTGTTTGTACAAGATTGGTACATTTGCATTTTTGTTTTTCTAATTTAGGAAAATTTTGTTAGTTTGAAGTATAAATATACCCAAGTGCATTTGCAATGCAATAGCCACAGGAAAGCTTGCTGTGGGCACCAGGAAGGAGCAGCGGACCAGGCTGTTGGCTCCGGTGCTGTCGCAGTTCATCGCAGGTTCTGATTAAAGAATCAACAAGTTTGGGTATTTGTACAAAGAACTTTTTTAAAGAAACATGCAGCATATGTGTAATAGTATCATAATATGTGTTTTTTTGTTTGTTTACCCCAGGGAACAGCTTGTATGTATTTCAAGCGTTTTTATCTTAATAACTCAGTAATGGAATATCATCCCCGGACAATTATGTGAGTTGAGTTTAATTCTCTCATTAAGGACTTTAATGCTGTTTGTGGGGGAGGGTGTGTGTGAGAGCTGGCCCTCTGTGGATCTGCATTCTCTCTTCTACTCAGAACCCAAGATCCTTGCTTACCTCTGACTCCTGTCAGACTGATGACATCCACACTTGATCCTGCCCGAGTTGAGATGCCTTTTTCTCAAACTGGCTGTTTCTCGCTGGTGCCACCTTCACCCTCCCAGCTTCTCTGAGGTCAGGTGCGCTGGCTCTGCCACTCACCGACTTCCCAGGTTGTATGACGTCATTGCTGTCAGAGGAGCGAAGGTCTGCGTGTCCCGGCTCTGCACGTGCCGTGTGTCATCAGACTTGCCGTCGGTCACTGTCCCTATTCCCAGCAGTCAGGATTAGGCTCTGGTTCTTACTTCCGATATGGATTTTCTAGTAGCTTTTCTTCCTAGTTTCCCACTGTAAACCTCAGACAGGGACCAGGTGAGTTTGCCGGCCCCGCCTAATCAGGACCCCCTCTGTTCCATTGGAGAGCCCTCACTGAGAACCTCGCCCAGCGTTCTTAGGCCCTGCCCTTGCCTGCCCTGTGGTGCAGTGTGTGTGCACGCCCCAGTGCAGAGCCCTCATCCCCTCCGTTTGTTCCGCTGCGTGGAGGGGGATGGAGCGGCGAGACGGCCCTTGGGCTGAGGTTGAGTGCTGGGAAATGTATTGGGTCTTTTCCTCATTTTATTGTTTGTTGAATGTTTCCTAACAGATGAAAGTTTTGAACTGGTTTTTAAAAGATTTCCTGCTGTGTCTAGAATGGTTGCTCGTGAGCATCATGCTGTTTTAGAAAGTGTTTTTAGATACAAAATATTTAGATAGTTCCTGCTACGTGTCCATGTGGCTTCACTCACCCTCGTCTCCCCTTATTTTGTTCCCTTTAGGCTCACTTGCGTGTTCCTGGCCTGCAAAGTGGATGAATTCAATGTATCCAGTGCCCAGTTTGTTGGAAACCTGCGGGAGAGTCCTCTCGGGCAGGAGAAGGCACTGGAGCAGATTCTGGAATATGAGCTGCTGCTCATACAGCAGCTGAACTTCCATCTTATTGTCCACAATCCTTACAGGCCATTTGAGGGCTTCCTCATTGACCTAAAGGTAAGCATGCTGGTGAAGGTGAACTATCAGAATGTGCCCCTTTGCTGCCAACTCACTCCACAATGCCAAGGCCACACTTTGTTGTTGTTGTTGTTGTTTTAAGATTTATTCATTTTTATTGGAAAGTCAGACTTAACAAAAAGATCTGCTATCTGCTAGTTCACTCCCCACATGACTGCAGTGACCAGGGCTGAATTCATTAGGAGCCAGGAGCTTCCTCCAGGTCTCGCATGGGGGTGCAGGGCCCCAACGCTTTGGGCTGTCCTCGACTGCCTTCCCAGGCCACAGGCAGAGAGCTGAATGGGAATTGGAACAGCTGCAGCACAAACTGGTGCCCATATGGGGTCCCAGTGCATGCAAGACAGGGACTTTAGCCACTAGGCTACCGCATCAGGCCCCAAATCCAAGTTGATGGCCTGTAATGTTGGATTGTGGATGCAGCGCGTGACTCTTGCCTGGACCTCTGGATTTCACACTCAGGACATCAGAATCACCTGGAGAACTTGCCGACGCAGTTCTGAATGGGGTTTGCAGAGTTGCTGATAAAGTGACCTGCAATTCTAACTCGGCCACCGGGGTATGCTTTTAAGCAGTCAAGGTTACTCCTGTAGTGTGAGTTATCCTGTCCCAAAATATAAGCAAGCATCACACATGTAAGTAAAGCAAGGGCGACCTGCCGTGCTTGGTCCTGAGAAGCTGGGTGGTCTGAGGAAACGGTCAGAGTTGTTCACAGTGAAGTGCAGAGCAAGGGGAGGCATTTGCGGAAGGTGAGCGTCCTGGGCAGAGAGACCTTCCTGGCCAGAGGGTCCCGTCAGGAAGGCATGGTGCTCCCGAGTTCCCAGCCCTAGTCTAGGGATCCCGGGCGACAAGGCACAAGGGCTGCCACTCGTGGCAGGCAGAGTCCAGGCTGCAGAGACGGTGCTGCAAGATCTGAGCAGAGGAGGCCTGTTCAGGGTTAGCAGATGGCCTGCTGGGCTTTACAGCTTTATAAATCTTGATGGCAAACTCATGGCTCAGCCTGCCGATACAGTAATTGCACATAATGTGAATTTGTGCAAAGAGAAGGTTGCCCACTTGTGATGCAGTGAATTCACACTTACCTAAGTGGTACCTCGTGTGTGTAAGATTGTTACAGGCAAGCACACAGTAGGCTTACCCAGGGTCAGGTCAGAGTGTCCTCTGCCTCTGTGGCCTGGAGGGAGCTCTGGCTGCAGCGCCCCCTCTGGAGGTTTGGGAGCACTGCCTTAGCTGGCCTCTGGTTAGCCTTACAATCACTTGGCTTCAACAACTTCTGTGTTGTAGGAAAAAAACATGAAGTGGTTGAAGTGGATGGGGGAACTGTTAGAAATATGGGGAAAGGAGACTTAATTTTTTTTTTTGCTTTGGTTTTGTTTGATAGAAGAGAGCAATGTGTATTTAAATGTTCAAGCAGGAAGCTAGTCAAGTAAAAAACAGAAAATGTATAGTTTAGGTTTCCTGCGGAGTAAGGGGGGCTGGAGTTGGAGAACGGGCCTTAGACGGAAGAGTGACTGCTTGTAATGGAGGGGAGAGCTGAAAGTGTTGGAGGACACCAAGGATTTGGTCATGGCAGGAAGCCACATTTTTTTGTTTTCTGAGAGAGGTGGAGACGGTGAAGATGTTTTCCATAGTCGCGGAGACTTGGACGTCCACATTTTGTAAACAGTATCGTCGCTTGGCATGTTAGATGATGGGTAACGTCACGTGGCTTTTTCTGACTGCCCCCAGAAATCAGTGCGGTTGCAAAGTAAGGGGCTTGCTTAGATGAAGTGTTGGCAGCATCTTGGGGCAGAGAATTCAGTGAGAAGGTGAGGCCAGGAGGCCCTGGGGAGAGGGGAGCTGACGGATGACTCCCGAAGAGCAGGCTCGGCAAAGGGCCTTTGTGTTCAGAGTGTGTGAATTTGTCAAGTCAGAGGGTAAGCCTTGGGGGATAATGGAACTGCAGGGTTGGTTGTGAAGTTTGTTTAATCAAAGCAAGATTCCTTTCCATTTACCTCTTTACAAAGGTAAACTTTTCCATAGAATTTTCTTGAAACAGTGCGGTTCCGAGTGTGACCTTACACCTGAGTGAGCCGTCCGCCTGGGAATGCCCCGTGTCACCTGAGTGCCTCTCCTGCCCTGCTCTGGCGGAGAGGTGCCTGGAGACGGGGTCCTGCGAGCAGCATGTCATATGCCAGGAGCTTCACTTAGGTTGTCTTTGAGCATCTATTTTTGTTGTGGTCTGTGTTCAGAAAAATTTGAAAGTCATGAGTTAAAGGATAACATTGAAGAGGACAGATTAAACATTCGTAACTTAATGATTGCAATTTTGCTACATTGTGATCATGTCTACAAACTCATATTGTAAGATCATTTCTTGGTGGGACACAGCAAGAGGAGTTAACATTTATGGGAATGTTCTGTGGTAAGCACTTCCTGGCTAATGTAAATATTGTTGACCGTTTGTCAATCCACTAAATTCCCAGACGTGGTAATATCTGAGAATTCTGTTTCCAGACTCGCTACCCCATGGTGGAGAATCCGGAAATGCTGAGGAAAACAGCTGACGACTTCCTGAACAGGATCGCACTGACAGACGCCTACCTCCTGTACACGCCGTCGCAGATCGCCCTCACTGCCATCTTGTCCAGTGCCTCCCGGGCTGGAATCGCCATGGAAAGGTATTCACCTGTGTTTAGGTCAGGTCATGCATTCTCAGTTTTTAAGAAAATGAAATTGTTTTAATGTGAAAAATTTAACACATCAAACTTGTGTGTATTCATGGAGCTTTTGTGTAGTGTCTGCTGGGGTAAACGTATCCTTTCACACGTTTAACATTTTATAGTGGGAAGATCTAGAAATCCTGTGTTGCGATTTTGTTTCTTTAGTAGAGAAAAAATACACCCTCCCACAGGCCAGAGTAAAAAGAACTGGAAGAAAATTAGTATTTACATGGTAAAAATTGTCCTCCTCCTGTGCAGTAGAATCCAAGAAGTTCTCACCTGTCTGCCGATGTCGGTAGTGCCGTAAATCGGCATTTCCCACTTCCTCCTCCCTCGTCTCCCCAGCATCTGGCAGCCACAGTTGTATTTCTTCTGTGAGATCATCTGTTTTTAGACACATGTTTTTGGTTCATTTTACTTGACATAATGACCTCCACTTCCTTCATGTTGCAAATTAAAAGTTCATTCCTTTGGGGGGCTGTATAGTATTCCATTGGTATATGTGTCACCTTTTTAACCTGTTCATCGGTGGCCGGGCATTCAAATTGATTCCATTTCCTGGCTGTTGTAATAGTTGTGTGGTGAATGTGGGGCTGCAACTGTCTAACAGCCGGAGTTTGTTTCCCTTGGACATATTCCCAGAACTGGGGTCGTTGGGTAACGTGGTGGTAACGCGGTGGTACTGTCTTAGTTGTTTTGGAGCCTTCGTCCTGTTTCCCACAATAGCTGTATTGATTTACATTCCCATCCGCAGTTCCCTTTTCTCCACACCCTTGCCATCACTTGCTACCCTTTGTCCTTGGTAACAGCTGATCTAATTGGCTGTCTCGTTGTGGTTTCTATTTGTGTTTCTCTGGTGAGTGATTGTTTTTCATATATCTGTTGGCCATTTGTATGTTTTCCTTTGAGAAACATCTGTTTAAAACTGTTACTCATTTTGTAATTGTATTTTTTTTCTTTAGGTGTTTTAGTTTTTGGTATAGCTTGGATTAGCTCCTTGTCAGTTGTATGGCTTGTAAACATTTTTTGTTCTGTAGACTGTCTCATTGTTTGCCTTGCAAAAGCTCCTTGTTTTGATGAAATCCCATTTGTATATTTCCTGTACTTTTGGGGTCAGATCTGTAAAACCCTTGCCTAATGGTCTGTGATGTTTTATACTAATAGTCTGAAAGCTTCAGGTATGTATAGGTCTTAATTCATATTGACTTGATTTTTTATATGGTAAAAGACAGGCTTTCCATTATATTCTTGAGCATATGGAAATACTCAGCTCTCCCAAGTGTTAGAGTTTACATGAGTCAGATTCATGTTGGCTGGCATTGTTTACTGATGGTTGGAATTAGATTCTTGGTGATAAGTGGAACTCAATATGTAATATCAAGAGAACAAAATATTTAGAAAAGCAAAAATGTAATATTAGTTTGTTACATTTTGGGTGCCATAAAACTGTCTAAACTAATAAATAACAGGAATAGTAACGGAATGGTGAGAAGACAGTGTTTAAAGTAGGGAATTCTGGGCTGTCAAGTTGAATGCCTAATGTAGAAGCTGACAGAGAACTGTACAAGATTAAATGTTTTTGTCTTTTTTATTTTGTTTTTTGTTTTCAACGTGTGAACACGTTGTTGAGTGAAATACCATTTATTGTTTATAAGGATAGCCCCGTGATAAAGCTGGCCTTGAAGGAAAGTTGACTGGGGTGAGGGGACCATGCAGAGTTGATAGTATAACGCTGGACCCCCAGAAAGCGCTAGATCCTACATGATGTTACAGGTGAAGACACAGAAATATTAGGGATGCAGTTGCGCACGTATACTCACACTTCTTGCTTACTGAGAGAGCCTGAAGGGAACTGCAGCTAGAGGTAATGTGCATCCCTGTGCCCGGATCTTGATTTCTCACGCTGTTCTCCAGTGAAGTGATCTGGAAGTTCTTGGAGAAATCATTGTGTGTGACAGTCTGGTTGGTAGAATTATGGCCTGTCAAAATCTGTCCATATCTGAATTTCCAAAATCTTTAAGTCATATTAAGTGGCAAAGGAGAATTAAGGTACCAGGTGGAATTAAGGTTGCTAACTAGCAGATCCTAATTTAGGACAGTATTCCTGGATTTTCCGCATGGGCCCATTATCATCACAAGGTCCTGTACGTGTAGAGGAGATGAACATTCAGTGCTGTGGGAGCACGAGGGGGCCAGCCCACATTGCCAGCTTGGAAAATGGAAGAGTGGAGCACTGTACCAAACATGCTTAGCAGATGCTAGAGTGTGTAAAAAAAATATATATAGATATATATAACCTCTCCTGAAAGCTACCAGAAGGGATTCAGTCATTTGTTCCTATAACTTGATTTTAGCAATAACGTGAGACTTATAATTCTGATCTCCAGGTAAAAAATTTGTTAACAGCACCATTTGTAGAAAGACCATCCTTTTAAAACACGCTCCAGTTGTTTGTAGATTTACTCTTAGGGTTAGGTTCCTTTACTTTGGTCTGTAGTTCTGTTTTTTCCCCAGTAGCATGCTAATTTGATTACTGTAACTTTCTAATAGATATTATTCTATATATTTATTATTCCACGTGTTTAACATTCCATTAAATGACAGTATCAACCAATGGTAAATAGAAATTAATGGCAACAAAGAACAGAAAAACAGAAAATTTAAAAGCCTAAGTTCCTCAGATGTGTAAACAAAAGCTTTACCCAATCACATGATCCCAGAGTGTCAGTCTTATACCTCTAGATTAGGTTTGTTTGTATTCTGTGAGTTAGTTACCACATTCCTGAAAACGCAGGATATTGTGTTTTTGGATCTAACTGACTTTACTAAACATAATGATTTCCAGTTGCATCCATTTAGTTGCAGAAGACAGTTTCATTTTTATATGACTGAGTAGTATTCCATAGTGCGCATGTACCACATTGTTGATCCACTCATCTGTTGATCTGCATCTGGGTTGACTGAGTCACGCTCCTGGGAATTTGCCCAATGGAAATGAAGTCAGCATGAGAGGGTTATCTGGACGCTCATGTTAGCATAGACATGTGGAGGTTCTGTCTCAGATATCTCAGGAATCGGTCTTTCTCATTAGTTTACATTTCCACCAGCATTGGATTTGAGTACCTTCCCTCTCATCCTTGCCAGCATTTATTGTAATTTGATTTTTAGATGATAGCAATTCTGTGTGGGGTAAGGTGAGACCTCATTGTGGTTTAAAATGCATTTCTCTTATAGCTAGTAAACCTGAGCATTTTTTCATGTATCTGTTGGCCATTTGAATTTCATCCTCTAAGAAATGACTGTTCATGTCTTGTGCCCATTTCTTAAATGGACTGTGTGTTTTGTGGATGTTGAATTTCTCGAACTCCTTATAGATCATGGTTAGTAATCCTCTATTTTAGAGTTTACAGATAATCTCTGTTGCGTGCCTTTTCACTTTGCAGAAGCTTCTTAAATTGATGTATGACATTTGTTTATTTTTGTTTTCATTACTGATGTTTTTGAGGTTGTTTCCGAGGGACCTTTGCCTATAGCTATGTCTTGTAGAATTACTCTGGTATTTTCCTCAAGTAATTTGATATCGGGTCATCTACCTGGATTCTTGATCCATTTAGAGTTGATTTTGTAAAAGGTGGAGGTGAGGGCCTTGTATCACACTTGGTGTATATCCAATTTGTCCAGCACTGCCCTTCAGGATTGGTTTAGATTTTCTTGCCAAATTAGCTGGCTGTAGCTGTGTGTGTTCATTCTGGGGTTTCTGTTATGTTCCATTGGCTTTCAGATCTGTTTTTGTGCCAATACTGGGCTGTTTTGATTACACCTGACCCATAGTGTGTCTTGACATTTGGCATTGTGATGCTTCTGGCTTCGTTTTTGTTGTTTTAAGGTTGCTGTAGTTGTTTAAGGTCTCTTGTTTCCATATGAATTTTGGCAACACTTTTTCTAAATCTGATAATAGGTGTTTTGATTGGGATCATGTTGAATCTGTAAATTGCTCTCACTAATGTAACATTTTGATGATCTGTCAATCCATGATCATGACAGGTTTTCCATGTTTTGGGGTCGTATTCTGTTTCTTCATGTTTTGTAATTTTGACCATAGAAATTCCTCACAGCCTTGATTACAGCTATTCCAGGGCACTTAAAATTTTTTGTAACTATCACGAGAGGGACTGACCTGTCAGGGTCTTGCTCAGCTGTGAGGTTTGTGTATGCAAGAGAGATTTTGTGAGTTGACTATACCCTGCAACTTTACCAAACTCGTAGGAATTCCAGTAGTCAGAGTGCTTTGGTTCCTCTGTTTAGAGGGTACTAGGACGTGCCAGGAGAGCCAGCTTGCCTTTCTCCTTTCCCATGTGTATCCCTCTGATGTCTCTCTGGTCTAACTGGCTAGAACTCCCCGGGCTTTATTGAATAGCAGCAATGAGAGTGGCCATCCTCACCTGGTTCTGGATCTTGGTGGAAATGCCTCCAGCCTTTCCTCATTCGACATGATGTTGTGGGTTTTTCATGTAGTGCCTTGACTGTTGAGGAATGTTGCTTCTATACCCAGATTGCTTAAGTTTTTTTTCATGCAAGGATGTTGGATTTTATCGGATGATTTCTGTGTTTACTGAGGTAATGTTTTCATTGTTAGCTTATTAATGTATCATAGTCTTGTGTGTGTTGAACCATCCCTGCATTTAAGGGATAAATTCCCACTGGGTGCAGGGGAAAGCCCCTTCTCATTGTCGGGTTCAATTAGGTACATTTTGGTGAGGATTTTTGTATCTGTTAATCAGGGACAGCATCATTCTCTTGTATCTTTCTGGTTTTGGAATTATGCTGATGCTTCACTCAAGGTTTGGGAGCATCCCTTACTTTCAGAAATGCTAAAAACAGTTTCTGAAGACTTGGGAATTAGGTCTTGAAAATGCAGTAGGATTCAGCGTGAAGCCACTCAGCCCTGGGTCTGTGTT